ATCTTTTCACGCTGTGTGGGGGTTTGGAGTGGGCGCCACGTGCTGCGGGGCCGCGCTCCCCCGCACACAAAGGCTTTACGCCGCCGCCCGGCCGGTGCGCAACTTTCCCTGCCCCGCAGCGAACAACGGCCGCCCGCCCCTCCCGCCTGACAGCGCCTTCCGCGCCGCTCCCCCGCAAAGTTTGCGGCCGGCCTCCTCCGAGCCGGGGAACGCCCGCGATCCGCCGCGGGGCCATGTTGGGGTCGGCGTCGGCTCCGGCCAGCCCTGTGCACTGAGAGCGGGACGGAGCGGCCGCGAACAAAGAACTTCTCTCCCCGCCGGGTACGTACCTGCCGCCGCCGAGCCCGAGCGGGCCGCGGTTCCCCACGCAGGGCCAGCGGGGCACGCCGCGAGCCGAGCCGGGGCGGCGCGGTGCGGTCCCGTCCCTGCCCTCCCTGCCCGGGCGTGCGCGCCGATCCGACATCGGCCGCGGCGATCTTGTAATCCGATCCCTTCTGACTCACTCGCACCGACTGACATTTCTGATTTGGTTCGACAAAAAGAGCGGGGCGAAAGGAGGGAAGGAAAAAAGAGAGGCGAGCGGCCCCCGCCGCCCCGCGTCCGGCGTTTCGGGACGACCTCCCGCTCCGTCCCGACCTCCCGCTCCGTCCCGCGCCCGGCAGCCGAGAAGGAGCTGAAAGCACGGTGCGCGGTACTCACGTGTCGGAAAAGTTGTCCGTCCCGCCGCTCTCCGACTCGCGCGGATGTCTCGCAGCGCCCGCCGCCCCCTCCGCCGAGCGCTGCCCTCTGGCCCGGAGCGGGGCCAGGCTCTTTGGGGATAACTCCTAGTAATCCCCGCTCCCTCCACCGAACTTTCCCCCTCCCTCCCCTCGCAGCCGGCGGGCTTTGCCTTCCCCGTCCCTCGGGCCGGACTCGCTCCGGCCGGGGAGCGGATGGCGGGGCGCTGACGGCGGGCTGCGGGCTGCGCCCGGGGCTGCGGGTCGGGCCGCGGCCTGCCGGGCTGCGAGGCGCGCTCTCGGCATGACACCCCCGCTCCCCCTTCCTTCTCCTCCTCCTCCTCCTCCTCCTCCCCCCGCCATCCCCCGGCCCGGCCCGGCCCGCCCCGGCGGCGGCCCGAAGGCGGCGACGGCCCGCCCACAGCCGGCAGGCGGCGGCGGGCCCCCCCGGCCGGCCCCTCCGCGCCGATCGCTCCCCTAGCCTCTCTCCTCCTCTCCCGTTCCATCCTTCGGGCCGTCCTCCGTCCCCAGCCGGACGGCCTCCTTCCCCTGCCCCAAAACCGGGGCTTTCTGGAGGAAACGCATCCCCTGAGCAGGTTTTCCCCGTGTGCGGGATTCACTTTTCGCCCTGGTACCTCGGGCTTCCCTGAGCGACAGACTTACAGGAAAGTTTCACCCAAGTCACTGCACTCCACCAAATAGCGCTCTGAGGACAAAACGTGAGCCCACGGCGGAGGTGAAAGGTGCCTCTCCTCACCCCCAGCTCCTCGATGTCCCAGTCTGCCCCATCCCTGCTTCCCGCGCACAGAATAGTACACAAACAGCAGCAACAGGTAGCCAAAGAGCACAGAACTTAATGCTTCCTATATCTTTCAGGAAACCCTGCATCTCCACAAGACGCCTTCTTTACTTCTTCCAGTAATGCAGATCTCTCTCCTGATGAGAGAAGCCTGAAAAAAAGGTGTATGAGCATTATTGCAGCCAGTTTCCATCAAGTCAGGCAGGGTCTGGGTCTCAGGAAAAGTGTGTGTTTTTAAGTTGTTGCCATCACAGTGTCAGATACTTCATATACACCTTTTTCATAACCCGGCTTACAACAGAGACAAGTAAAGATTTGTTACCAGTGTCGATGATTCAACAAGGTACCAGAAGCTCAGGCTACCCCAAGCAGTTGACAGGTTCCACAAAAATCAATGGTACTTGAAGACAGGCCTGCTCACTATCTGAAAATGAACAACCAGCCTTTGACACCAGTATTTGATAAAGCTTCCCTTAATATTGCCATTGAAAACGTTCTGCATCCTATTACAAAACAAAGCTGTAGTTAAGGTTTGGGGCACCTCAGTTCACAGCTTTTTTATAAACCGAGAGAAGGCAACCTTATCATCGCCACCAGATCTCTGAGTTTCCTCAGTGGTTTGTATTTTTTTTTTCCACCTGGAAATCTCTGCAGAAGGATGGCTTTGGGGAAGCGCCTGTAATTTACAGATGCCCCGATTGCACAGGCCGTGCTGGGCACATTTGTGCATCTGTTCCTCAGCGCCAGATGTACTCCTGACTTTTTGGGACAGACACACGGCACTCAGATGCTCTCACGGCCAGGTACAAGACGTCTGACCTGCCAAGATCTTGGGCACACCGGAGAGATGCAGGCAGGTGCTGGCTTGCAGCAGAGAGGACCGCAGTCTGGGAGCCTGCGATTTCACAGCATACCAATGGGCAAACCTGTCCCTGCCCCAAATGAGCAGCGCACGGTTGCTCAACCAATGCTGCTGACAGGCTCAGGGCTACACAGGAAGAGGCATGTGCCACAGCCATATCTGAACAAAGACATTAAAAGCTTATATTATTCCACCTTTTTCATCCCGTGCGACTTCCTTTTTGACTCTTGGGAAAATGTGAGCTGCCTTGTGAAAGTACAATAATAGTGATATTGCACTGTTTTGGCCTAGATATAGCCATATAAACAGGACAGAAGGGGAGGGCTCAGCATCTTTAGTTAGACCTCTGTATCACTTTAAGAGTTATATGGTTCTTTCAACTTACTGATCCCTCTTTTCTTTTCCTATGTGTTGCCAATTCCTTCATATTTTTGCAGTCCTTTTTTTTTTTTTTTTTTTTTTTTTTACCCCACCCTTTTTTAAGTTTGGATAATGAAAGCCTGCAGAAATAACAGGGGAAATTAACCTATGTAAAAAGTGTTACCATATACTTGAAACAAATTAGTGGGGAAAAATCTGTTCATCTAACCATTTATCGTTCGGAATTAATAATCTGAAGATGTTAATTTTGACAGTAGGTAGAACAGAAGTTCAGATGGGCACGATTTGAAGTTGAGGGTAGCAGCTCGGATTGGTATGACTTAAACTTTCAAAAAAAAAGAAGTGCTGTTTCCTGGGATTTTTGTCATCTTATGCCATAAAAGTATATTTTGCCCTTTTAAAAAAAATCTAATTCACAGTTCAAGGCACAGGTTTCTGATTTTAATAAAATAAAAGAAAACCCTCAGCTCCCCCATCAAAATTAAGACAGTCAAGAAATGTTAAAACCTAAAGAGCAGTTAACAGTTGTTTGAGCTCTGCTTGTGGAAAATAAAATAAAAAAAAAATAAAAACAAAAAGAACAGAAAGATTTCTGATGTATTCCCGAGCAGCAAAAGTCTTGAGAGAAGAGAAACACAGAAAAAACAACCAAGTTTCCTGCTTGCGCCTGTCTGAATGGCCAGACCAAGCAGGAAATAAGAGATGAAGGGAAGAGGGTGACATTTGCCATTTGAAACATATTGTAAATGTTTCAACACCTTGACAATGAGGCACATAACAGAAGCTCAGAGCATCCAAGACCCTTCAGCTCCACAAAATGAAAATGGGCAGCTCTGTGGAGAGAGTTGCCTTTCTTAAAACCTTTCATGTCTGCTTCAGAGGAATCAAACTTGAAAGAAGAGCAAAGACAAAAAGTATTATTAATAAAATGTATTGACTTATCCACACATCTAGATTGCCCCTCCAAGAGAACCAGAACTGTGAGACTTGTCTATGATGCATCCTTGCAAAGAGGAATTCCCTCACGCAGAAGACCTGCCAGTCAGTGCCAAAACCCATCTCTGACAGAAGATACCACAGCCACAGGGCATTTCTGCCCAAAACAGCATCACCTACAATCCTTGTGCATTTCTGCAGCCTGCCTTATGTCCCCACTTCTTCTCTGCCCCTGCCTTGAAAAATATAGGCCTCCAGGCTCTGCAATTGTATTTCCCTTTTGCAGCAGTTGTTGTTCAAGGAAAGCACAATCATGTACAGGCGTTGTGCTGACAGCAGCTTCAATGCAGAAGACCTGATACTAAGTCACACCGAGAATCGATCTCCACCCCCAGTTGCACCACACTCCACTTCTTCTCCACTGACAGTGAGTACTCAGCCTCTGGAGATCTTCAGCACTGCTGGAACCTTTTATTCTTTTGGTTCCCCACTTCACCTCACAAACATCATTTGAAGCATCAGCACCCAGGTCCTCATGGGCAGCCGGGCACCCAGCCTGCTGTTGCTGGTTATCCAGTCAAGTGTCACCCCCTAGCAGACAAAGCTATCATGACATGGTTTTGCCAACAAGAAAATTGGGATAAATTCTGTGAAATGGCTACATCTGCTGTGTTTTACCACAGATTTACCAGGCAACCCCAGGAAGCACAAGTGATGTGCTAGGATACGGAGCAATAGCATCAATTTATGCATTTATGCATTTATGCAATATCCATGGAGCAGTAGCCATTACACGAGAACTTGACCAGCAAGTCTCACTCCCACCCATGCAACCTGCTTGTTGCAGGACTGTCTGTTCAGTGCAGCAGAGAGGTCTCAGGAGGTAGCTGGTGGAAGGAAAATAGGGGTATGAGGTGTTAGCATGAGGGAATCCTCAAAATCTACATGAGGAGCAGCTGGGGACATAGAGAAGGGTGCATGGCCAAAGGTGAGATGTACAGCTTGTATTTGGAGATCACAGAATTTGGGAGGGATATAATGTCCAGGGCAAAAACCCTAGCTGTAAAACAAACAGGGAAATGTAAGGAAGATAAATGGGTAGATTGCTCTTAAGTAGGGAAAGAACCAGTTCTTCTCCAATGAAGAACCAGTTCTTCTCCTGGCTTTGAGCTGTATTATGTACCACTGCAGACTAAGAGAATTTGATCTAAATCAGCTCTTCAGCAGAAACCAAATCTCTTTGGCAGCATAGTATTTATTACATTCTTGAAGGAAAACTGGGTAATGGGCTACTGAACATTAAAATAAAACTCTGGAACCAACATCATGATTTTTCTTACAGTGTGCCTGAAACTTTTTACCTTTCCAGACTAATAACAAAATACTGCAACATCATCATGTTGTGGGACACACTTAAACTTACATAAATATTATTAGACAGGGAATTATTAGTCAGGAAAGTTTTGTGGTTTTTTGTTTTTTTTTTTCTTGATTGTAATTCACTGCATTTCAATTATGTTCTAAGATCAAACTGATCCTATGAATTTGACTATCATTTTCAAAAATCCTTTTACTGACACATGCCAGTTTTCAGCACAATTTTTTGTTTTGCTTTAAATTCACTTCATTATTTGTTGGTTTTTTTTTTTTTTAATCGTTATTACTGGCATTGAAAAAAAAATGGAAAATTATTGGGAAATATCTGGATTTTTCAGTATAGCAATCATCATTCAAGAGTCTGAATTTTCCATTTTTCTCACTATTTTCTCACCATAGCCCTTCACAGGCCACAACACACATAATCATTTCCCGTGATCCGCAGTGAGGAAACTATGTCTGCTTTCTCTATTAACTTCAGGGACCCTGCTAGATTTCAGTGGAAGAAAGACTGATCTCTAGTGATCAGGATTGTCTCTCCACTGTATAAGATCATCTCTTATCCACCATCCTCTTCCTCTGGTTGTTTGATCTAGATAATCTAGCCAGCTGTTTATACCCTCGCTATCAGCAGGTTTGAATGCCTTGCAATAAAATTAATGGGTCGAGGCCCAGTGATTTTTTTATCTCCTTTAATCTTAAAGATGTAAGGATATCCTTTCTATTTATTCTTATTAGCCTTGCTGCGATTCCTAATGGAAAGCTGGGGCTTACACATGGACTAAAAGAGCATTGGTTTCTGCAGGATCTTCTGTTCTTGTGAGCTGGCTGCAGAGAAAGCCTGAGCCCAACAGCTCTTAAGCATAAACTTCAGTTCAATATACTTCTACCCTCTCTGATTTTAATATATAGTTGCATTAAAGCACTTTGTTATTACGAATGTCAGCTTCATAAGAAGAATGTTTTCTTCTTCTTCCAAGAAACTCAAACTTTTTTGTGTGTGTGTGCTCTTTTAGTCTGTGGCCATAAATGTATCCAAGAAAGAGGCACAGGGAGTTTCCTTTGTTTGCTATTTAAGAGCACACATACGTGTAAATTGTCAGAGAAGAAGCACACAGGGAAAAACAAAGTCTGTCAAACAAGTTGCTGCCAGTAAAGACGCCAAAATCATAAAAATCCACATAGAACAAGCGTAAATAGTTTATCTCCTTTTTACCACACTATAAAAAGAAAAGGAATTGCTAATGGTGCTGATATTTATATTGGTATAATTAGATAAATCATCATTAATATCCCCTCTAAATGACCTGGGATACTTTCAGTCTCTCTCAAGGGAATTATTTCAGCTTCTCTCCAGACTGCGTGGCTGGGCTATACAGGAAAGAATTTAGCAGCATTTTGCAAGTCACAAGCCTTTCTGCAGGAGATGGAGTTTATAGACTTTTCTCCTGGCAGAATTTAAACCCGTTCTTTGAATGAAATAATCCGTATCAGAAAAAAAAAGACAGTTTTCCTAGCATATCCAGTCCTGCTCCAACACTGCCTGGTGTAGCTGTGTCAGTCATGGGTGGGAAATATCACAAACACAAAGGATCTGTCAAAATGCCTTTTTTTTTTCCTCTTTTTTCCCCAATTGTTGATGCAGTGAATTGGAAATACGCATTTTGAGGTAAAACATGGCATTCAGACACTCCCCTAGGAAATGACTAGATTCTTTTCCCATAAGCCTTAAATCTACTAGCCCATATTTTAAAGTTAAAGTATTCTCAAATACCGTGGAAAGCTTGCAGTCTTCAGATTTTTCATCAGCCTCTTAAATAATTACTGTACTATCTGGGGTTTGTCCATTTTCATAGTTCAAATTCAAGGTATTTATCTGCTTTTTTTAAATTGCAACAGGAAAAACTGAGCATCCAAGTCATTTCATTGTAGCTACACGTAACTACGCTTACTATTTTCTTAATATCTCTTTGGTAAGGATTTAATGCTTTGCTACTGCTCAGGTTATCCCCAGTTGTCCCAGGCAAAGTATGAAAATAGCATCTGCCCATTAGACAGCTTTCCACATGCATTCAGAAGTCCCTGAGAGCTGCTTGTTTATCCTTTGTGGCCACCTGGGTGCAGACTCAAATCTCATCAGCACCCAAGCCAGTTTACTGGTCTTAATCTTCAATTCCCAGTGGACAGTTGTTTTTGCAGAAAGATTCTGTGCAACACATTTGATGATAACTGGATAGGAGATATCTGAGATTAGTGAATCTGGGGCATGAATTGCTCTTCCACGGGGCATGAATTGCTCTTCCACCAAGACCTCATGTGATCTATCCATATCTACCTCTCTTAATCTCCCAGTCTCACATCTATCTCTCTGTACCAGTTGCTGGCTTAGTCCTATTGTGAACGGGGCACTGAGCTGTACACCCACCAAATGGATCAAATAAAATGCCTGTATCGCACCAGATGACAATTTGGAAGGACTGTCAGTGAATTTATTCCCACCACGACCTCTGGTATCATGTTCTGAATCAGGCTACGGCCCAGAAATGCAGTAAACCTAGCTTCACATCTTCTAGTGATGGATGAAAAATGCTATGCAACTTCAATGTAAAGTTATTGTCGGTAGAAAATTAGTACCTCATGAAACACTAACAAGTTTGAACAGTTGGGATTTATATCAGGTCAGGTATTTTTTCTTCAGCTGCAGTCAGCATATCTGTATTCCACAGAGGAATGGTGAAGGACTCACGGCAGGTCACATTGTCACCGGTGTGATATGTGGCTGCATAAAGCGCTCAGTAACTGCAGATGACAAAAGTCACATGCTTAAATATGCATGCATATGCATCTACACAAATGCTTTCATAGCCTCTGATTTTTCCTATGGTTATTTTTCCTTGCATGTAATTTACGTCAGATTGTTTGAGCCCTCCATTCTCCTTGCCTGGAAAAAAAAAAAGCGTTCATGGGGGGGAGGAATTGGCTGTTCTGATCCTGAGGTATGGCCCCCTTTTGAAAATAGCCTCATAATCAGTTCTTTGATGTTACTTTTAAAAATTTCTTAGGCAAAAATTAAAAAAAAAAAAAAAAAAGACTCTGTAAAATACACTATTGTTCTTCCTGTCTATTATTTCAGGCCCAGAAGACTAAGAAGACAGTTTTCAATATCACAATGAATTAGCTTTGTTTCTCCCTAGATCTAGCGAGCAAAGGCACACAAGAAAGCATGCAGGGATTTTGGGAAGAGGAGGCTATGATCCACCCACCTTTCACCATGCAAAGTCACAGAAGTGCTTTGTAGAAGTTTGTATACGAGTCCTGTGGTGCAAAACCAGCTGCCTTCAGCACCAATGATCCCGTGAATGGCAAACCCTATCACTAGTGTTCTGAAGTCAAGCACGCTGCCAGGTAATGAACTTCATAGTAGTTTTCAAGCCCTAAATGAGAGCAGATACCATATTTTGATTCAGCAGTCATTTTTACCTTTTGTGTCAAGTACATATCTTGTCTCTCCAGTCAGTAGTAACGTTCTCACCTTTCATTCCATAGCACTGAAGTTGGTGGAATTTTTGCCATAGTCGTGGATGGGCATAAGGAATGTAGCTAAATCTTTTGAATTTACATTTAAAGTAGATATTCATGTTCAGTATTTTTGCAGGACTTCTCCCTAAAGAAGTTACTTGGAAAATAAGGAGCAGGAGAACAGCGTTTTCTTTATGAAATTATGATACTTTGTCAACTTGTCTCCAATTTGTCAACTGTTGGCAAGTTAATCTAAAAAATACCTAATAGTTTGGAAGAGCTTTGTGTTATTTTGCTTGAACCTAAAAGGTTTCAGTCCTGCAGTGCTCAAGCAAACAAAAAGTCTGTGAAATTTTCCTTGAATAAACATTTCAGGCTGGTGCTAACTTGTTATTGGTACTGACACATCCCAGCAATTGGCCAACCAGGGAAACACCAGACAAAGAAAACAATGTAAGATGTGCTATAATATATAGTCCTGCCTTTCAGGCCAGTAAGGCAAAACCAAACACAGGTTTTGAAAAAAATCACAAGAATTACAGTATTTTTAGGCAGGAGGAACCACTTCAAGGTCTGTACATTTACCCAGCACAGTAAGATCAGTGCTCCTTTAAAGGCACTAAGAATTTTTTACAATGGAGACCAACAATGGTTTTATGATTATCAAAATCATTTCAAGTAAAGACCAAAAATAAAGAGAAAAAACAAGCTTGCAGAATATCTCAGAATGAAAAAATAAGTTATCAAGAATATGAGAAACTGGAAAAAAAAAATGCATGCCACACAGAATGGTTTCGCATATTCATTTTACACTCATCAGTTCTGCAAAATCTAAAGGAAGAATGACAAGTGCTATAAGTGCATGTCCACCCTGTGTTCACTGTAAGCTTTACTTTTTTTCCTTTCAAAAGATGTAGCCACGGTGTGGATGAGTGATTTCTTTTTCTTTTTCTTTATTTATTATCCTATTCTCTCAAATTAATTCTGTCCTTATATCTTCCTTTCAATTACTACTGGAGTTAATTGAGGGCTGCTCTAAAAGCAATGCCTCCTGTTTTATTATGTTGGCCCACAATGTCAGAGGCGGATGTTGGTGGTATGGCAGTAGAAGCTGGACCTTCCTGTCAAAATTGCAATGCATGTTGTTGCCATGTGATGACTGGCAGCAGAAGGGCATCTAAACTACTTTCATTTAAATATGGCTTTCTGGATATGCAGTACTGCTTGGTGCATAATCATAATAAAGTAACATCAGGGTGTTTGCAACCAATAAATTTGTGTCTCATCTTTATGAGATGTGCTTAAAAAATAAAACCAAAATACAACTTAAATCTCTTTAGTTCATTTTGGTTATTCAGTATGGCAAAGATTCCTTGGTGAAGAGAATGCCAAAAAATAGAAACTGCTAGGCTAAGAAGTTTTACTTCATGGTTTCATAGGCAGGGAAGATACAGCAAAGGCAGAATGGTAGCCAATGCTCACACGGTTCTGGGATCTTGATTTTGAACAGAAATATATAAATACTCATGAAAAGCCATACGATGTAGTGGAATGTTTGAGTGAAGAATTGAAAGTCTGAGGATGCTGTACAAGTGAATTTAAGAAGGTTGATGGGTACTTTTCATTTTTGTATATGAAGCAGAAGAAATTTATATGCAGAAAGCATATACATATAAATATAAATAAGGTTCATATCATTACTAGATGAGAGAACTCTACTTATCTTTCACTATATACAGCTTCATGACAACCCACACCGTGGCCCAGGCTTAAATAAGATCAGCTAATGTGTGGAAAACATGAAACTAAAGAAACAATGCTGGTAAATAGACAAGAGCTTTGTGGAGAATTTATAGCTGTGATATTGTTTCCATCCTCTAAACATGTATATGCAGATAACATTTGATCAGTGCAGATCAATGTTCAGAAGAGCTTCTTCACTTATACTTAATAGCAGAGATCATGTTTACTCCACTTAAAGAAGCTAAAAGCTCATCCCTCAGGTTGGACTTCTCATCTCGACAATCTTGACAGCTGTGATTTACCCCTGCTGGAACAGGTGACTAAGGCAAGGTAGATCAATCAGTCTTTGGAAATCCAGGGCTGTTTTGTCTTGCTGACTGCAAGGAATTCACTGGAAGAGGGTAGGTGCAGGCACTCAGACCAATCCCACCTGGGCTCTGACTTTCCAGCTACCTTAGCAGTGCTTTCTAGGATCTGTGCCTCTTTCCTGGCAGCCAATGACCTCGACTGTGACTTCTGCATCTGCCCTCTTTACCTCTGCCTGATGAAAGTGCCCCATACAATACTCCTACTATGATAACATAAATAGAACCCTATTCATGAAGCCTCAGCAGTATAGACTACCACAAGCACAACAAGCCCGTTCCTTGTCTTCTATGCTTACTTCCTGAAGAATCCCAAGGAACATAAGATTCCTCCATTTAGTGCAGCTGAAAAACCTACCAAATGCTCAGAAGTGATAACTGCAATAATGACATTACTCCTCAGACACTCTGGAGCCTATTAGAGTGAACTTTGTTTGTATAGGAAACTAGGGTAATGCAGCACTGCAAAACAATCTTCACTGTCTTCTGCTCCAACCACAAAGCTGCGAGCTTCTACCTGCCATCTCCATACATGGAAGGGAAGAGAAGCACAAGCAGTTCAAAATATGCAGAAAACCTCCACCCATCAAGGCAGACCTCCAAAGTCTGTGTGCAGTAAGACAATGAACAGGGTTTACTCATCTCCACAGAGCTTGGAAAAGGTAGTGCTTATCAGCGTTATGTTGGAGGAATTGTTCTGGAGTAGAGAAAAGCTTAATTTATGGTTATGCTCCCCAGATACCATTTAGCAGGCTAAAGCATGATTAATTTGTTCTGCCATTTTGGGTGTGAGAGGGTGTGCTGAGCCCAGATATCTGAGCAGCCTAATATCACTCACTATATCAAACCATTCAAAGTTCCTTCTTCCACAGCTCAGCCTGTGCAAGGAGGTTACAGTTAGCAATCTACCTTTGGTGTATGATCTGAGATGAAATTTTATTGCTCCTTATCTCTATTCGTAAAGAACAGAAGCAATAGCCAGAGAACACACACTTTATTAAGAATTTCTTGGGTCATATATAAATTCTTTTGGTATTGATATTCTTTATACCACACAAAGAGCAGCGTAACTTTATGGTCTAACCAAGACAATTTCCATGGAGCAGGGAGAAAATGTGTTGGCTTCAGAATCACAGATGCATTATACATTTACATACAGTATTCCAGAGAGCTTTTTATAAGCCCAGGTATCAAACTGTGATTGACTGTTGCGTTCTGCTCTTTCTGCCAGGGTGAAGATCGGTGGGCCATATTCTACAGCCCTTGTTCAGTTGCCTCTCTGTGTTTTACTGCCTAAGTCTGGGAGACATCAGTGAGGAAGCTTCTTCCAGCCAGAAAAGATGAATAAAGACTTCAAAAAATAGCCCTGTACTTGGTCTGTTATCTATTCAAAATGTGTTCAGACTTGCAGTAACAGTATGAAGCTGTAGCTTCTCCAGATCCCCAGTTTCAAACAGCATAGATGGAAATGCAGAGGCAGATGAGCAGCAGCAACTCTTTCTGTGTCCCAGGTAGGAAAAGATCAAAACAGGCCCTTTTCTGAAGGGAAGGAAGAGGTCTGGCCTCTTTTCCAAGTGTGTAAAGAGGAAAACGTCCCATGTCCTGCATGTGGCAGCCATGGGCCCCTGGGGTAGGAAGGAATGTGAGCGGCCCTGCTCCCCTGGTCTCCGCACACAGCTCACTCTTGTACATGGTGCAGTGCATGGGATCCATCCTTGCAGCTGGGCCAGCCTCAGGATGCTGTGAGCTTTACAAATGCAAGCCTATGCCAGCTCCTTGTGCCCAGTGTAAGCCACAAGCAGATCTCTGCATCTTGAGCCAGCTACCATGATCGTCCAAGACAGGGCTGTGGTGAGGGTGGGTGAGGCGGTGGTGAGTCTGGAGGTGATGCATGGATGAATCATGGGAATGAGGTCTGCTTTGGAGAAAAGGTAACCAGAGATAAATGTGAGGGAAAACGTCCTTCTCAATTAGTGTTGAATTCCAGCTATACAGCAAGAAGTGGAAAGCTAACCCAAGCTGTGAACATGAGTAATAAATGGGTACACACCCTTCCAAAGTGGCAGATATTATCCCCATGTTATTGTTTTCCCCATGTTATTACCAGCGACGCAGTCTTATCTGGATGGCTCTGCAGCCAGCTGGCCTTCCTCCAGGCCCCAGCCTCGCATGCCAGGGGAGACAATCAACTCTCCTAGCCAAACTGCAAAAGACAAAAACATAGAGTTGTGTTTCATCTGCAAAGCTGAAGACAAAAAGCAATCCACGAGTCCCACGAATCTGCCTGATTGACACAAAAACTTATTCTTTAAAGAGGGTCTGGCAAAAGTGAATGGGAAACCCTCGTGTATTTAGGGTCAGGCAGAGAATGGACATCTTGGTCTGGCCCACAGTGAAGTCTGTAGTGAGCTGGAGGGCACACACACGGAACTGTGCCTCCATCAGTCTCTCTTACACTTATTCTCATAGTACTGGTGAAGCTTCTTCTGCTTATGGAGGAAGTGCCTGAGTGTGTTCCTACTTATACAACAAACATGTAGTGATTTTCACTACATGTCAAGCTGATGTTTTTCATGAGTAGACTCAGAGGATTTACTCACAACCAATTTCGGTGTCACTGCATCCATGTACATGAGCAGTATGTTTGGCTCAGAATCTCCTCAGGAGGTGTATTAGTCAGACAGTAGATCAAAAGCAACACAGATAAACAAGAGAGAGATAAAATATCGTCTCTAGAAGTCTGTGAGCATTTCTACGGAAGAAATACCACCATTGGGATGTTCTTTAACATGAAGATGTGTCATTACTCAGATGTTTAATTCAGAGTGTACAATAATAAATACAAATAAGCACTTTTAAGACTCTGGTTAACAATCTTCAGGGCAATTCACTACACTATTATTTTTCCCAAGGCAAGAAAGTTGTATTTGCATTCATATTTTCTTATTATCAGCACTTTATATTTTCAGCCAAATGCTCCATAAAACTGAGTATCCTTAGGTCCTACAGAAGAGAGGAGCACCCTGGAGGGAGGATGGCCAAACTCATGGCACAAATGGGCACTCATTTATGCAGTTAATGCACAACACACTCACTTATTGCAGCTAATCTGTCTAAGGGATGGTTGTACACAATCAGACAATACAATGGCATAACTGTCAAAGTCATTCTTTTTACATCTTTAAAAGGTGTCTTTTGGAAAGAAAAAAAAAGAAAAAAAAGCTTTTTAATAAATATTTTAATAGGCATAATGAAATTCTGCCCAAAATATCCACAGAGGACACTCAGTAGGAACCTGGTCAGTCTTTATAGGAAGCCCACTTTCATGCAGATGCTGGTTTGCACTCACCATAAACAAGTTTGCTGTGTCTGCTCACACAAACTCTCTCTTTCCTTCCTCCTGCAATCTACAGCACCTCTGGTACATCTGGAGCTTCTTAATTCATTTATATTCCACACTCTGTCTGCTTACTTCCCTGGCAGCTTTTACCCCATTTCTCACAATGGGAAGAGCTCTTAAAACCTTGTGGGCAGTAACACGACTGCTGGGGCCAGAAAAGGAAATTCGGCTCCAAACACAGAGATGGGGAAGTGTCTGGTGACTGGAGGGGTTCATTAGGGAGTGATGGAAAGTGTTAGGGGTGGAAGGAGGAGAGAAGGCGTAGAAATAGAAGGGAGTCAGACATCTGGTTGGAAAACTCAGGAAATGTTAAAGCAAGAAAAAAAAAAAGGTTAAAAATACATTAGTCCACAGCTGACCCATTTTCACGAGTTGGTTACAGCTGTAGGATGAATTTGGGCTGAAGGGGTGGGCTAGCGCATGAAGAACTGGAAGACTTTAATCTTAAAAAGCAAACGCAGTGGGAAGGGAATGCGTATTCTTTTGCTTTGACTAATTTCTTTCGCCTTTGCTTTTTTCAGTAAGTCCTGGCAGGGATTTGCTCTGCCAGGGGCACTTGGCTGTGCAACTCTTCTCAGGTTACACCGGTCCTGTTTCCAGCTGCAAACAGGCTCGAGGGCATTGCTGAACCGATGGGAAGAGCTTTGCTGGGGGTATGGTCAGACGGTGATGACCCAGGCAACTAAAATGCATGGAAAGAACACATATTTTCTGCAGACAGATACCACTTTTCTGAGTATGCTGCCATGAAATGACTCTGTGCCGCATCAAGAGGCAGCCGTGGTGCAGCTGCTACAAACACTTTGAAAGAGCCCCTTTGTTTAGATACTAGGAGTTTAAACTTCATTCTCCTAACCTGTCAGGTTCTAGTTATAGTTTTTTTCTGGAGAAAACATTACCAGTTTTTGCATTTTTATAAACTCTTGCTTCTAATATTTTTCTTCCTTTAGCTATTTAAGTTCCTTTTTTTTCTTTTTTTTTTTTCTTTTTCTTTTTTTTTTTCATGCTTATTTGAATTTTGTCCAAAGAAATTAATTAAACTTGAAGGACGTGATATTTGCTTCTTGTTTCAACCTCTTTCCCAGATTCCTGCTGCTGGGCGTTGCCCTTAATTAACAGCATTTTTGTTTGAAATCACATACTTAATGATCCCCGTGTTCTCACTCTTTTGTTTGGCTTAGCTTCTTTCCTACTTCCTTGTTCCGTTTCTTTATTTTTGTTTGTTTTGTTGTTGTTTAAAAGTTGTTTATTTATTTGCAAAGACTGTGCTGTTTATCCAAGTGAATAATTTCTTTAAGTGGAAAAAGAAAAGCCAGGCCAATTTCACTGCTACTTTACTGTCTCAGCTTAATAGCTCTGTGGTTTCTTTTTGTGTGTGTGTGTGTGTGTTTCTAATTCCAGCTGTGCAACACACATCAAACCAGTCTGTCGTTATACTTCTTGGTAAGCTATGCTGCTTAACGTTTCATTTAAAAAACAATTAGTCTTTCTTCCCCTCAAGAAAACAAAATGAAACTACAGTAATATTCTTTCAGTTATACCCAAAGATACTGGATAATTGATTTCCACTGTACATTAAAAAAAGCATTTTTCTGTTTTGTTGGCAACACCGGGCCTTTTTAATGTAATTAATCTCTCAAAAGGTAGAGTGATTCAATTAGGATAACTTTTTAATGGAAATAGCAAGACAGCAAAAGACAGAACTTTGCAAAGTCAGTAGGGTAGTCTTGTGTGACTTCTCCACGAAAGGAAAGCGTCCCACTTTAAATCAACTGAGTTTCATCACTGAAAGGAGGATAGAGCCTAGGGGAATCACCCTGGGGCTGAGCTGCTTGCAAGAATATTTTCTTTCCCACGGTAATTAAATATTATACACTTATATGTATTCCATAAGAAGCCCCATATTGTCCACAACAGCAAACAAAACATTTTTCTAAACAATCTTTGATAAACCCCTTAGGTGTGCAAAGTTAAGAGGAATTCTTGCAATACAGAATTGATGAGTGCAAAATGTGTAAAGGTTTGTTATATCTTGAAAGAAACGTTTGGTCACTGTTTCCTTCCCCGGGAACTCCTCTCTTGCAGCTGGGCAGTAACATGCTGCTGATCTGCTCGGGAGCTGCTGGTGACAGCACCAACATGAGGTGACCTGCTGAGGCCAGTAGCTGGGCAGCAAAGGCAGCACTTCTTTCAGCATCCCTCCTCAACCACCTGCTCTGCAGATGCAGCAGAAAAGCAACTGCTCTTTTTAAGTCTGTGTGAGAATGTATGGTGACTTCACTTATGATTAAGCGACTCGGGCAATGCAAGCTGAAGACTCTGTGGCCTGAAGAAGCTCAGGACTAACACGTATTGGGCTTGAGGCCCCTATCTACTTCAGTAGTATGTACAAGAAGCAACACTTCTTTATGTGATCAAAAATCATCTTCTCTTTCTTATTAGGAGTGAGATAATGTTACTGAAACCAGCAAGAAGCAGTATTTCTACTTACTGTGTTCAAAACCAGTCAGTGTTTAAGGACTGGCTTGAACAGTCCCTACTTGAGCCCCAAAACATCAGAAATCTGCTCTTCATTAAGGTTTTAGGTCATATGCCATTCATCTGTGTGCATGGAAACCTACTGTCGCTGGCTTGAGGGATTAATGTGCAGATCAAAACCAGCATATAGCCTCCTTCGTGCTGGACTTCTCCAGTAAACATATTTCAATCTGAAGCTGTAAATGACTTAAACTTCAAGTCCTGACTGTTCATGTTCCATGCCCAAACCTCCCACTGACACCAATAAGGAGGGACAGGTAGAAAATGCAGGATGTTTTGCTTGTTCTCATGGGCAAAGACTATAGCATTTCCTACAAAGAAAACCTAATCATCTGAAATGATATTTACTGTTGGTAAAAATAACTTAAGTCAGACTAAAGAAGATTGGGAAACAACCCTCCCCCAACCTCCTTTCACCTCTAGAG